TGACTTCCTGCAGGACTGTTTTACATGTATTGATTGGTGACAAAAGTGCAACCAATTTCATCTTGTCTAGTCCTGAGTGCAGACCGAATTCTATCGATCGTATTTACAATGTGGCAACCAAGCTAGGAAGCTCAGTATTGTGATGCATATTAGTAGATGTTAGTCAGGACATCAGTTCCGTCGAGGTTTTAGATACACCTTGCTGACGAGTGCCAAAAAGAATGGAACCTAAGTCCAGGGTTTCCTGCCAATTGCCTCCAACCAACTAACATCTACTAATGTGCACCACGATGCTGAGCTTCTTAGCTTGGTTGCCATATTGCAAAATATGATCGATAGAATTCGGTCTGCACTCACGACTAGACAACATGAAATTGGTTGTACTCCCGTGAACAATCAATACAATCTGATATGGAACTCTATTATACATTATGTTGCGTATATGAGGTCAAATTGATGTCAGTTAAATTGTGACAGAACATGAATGTGGTTAACTTTATTATAACAGAATTCATTTAGAGAAATATATTCAACTTTTGTCATGAATCCAATAACAAACTGTCATACTATAATGAAACAAAAAACTGAAAGGTAATTCGATGGAAAATATTTTCTTTTCGATGAATCATTTTTTTTCAGCAGATGGATTCTTCAGCGTAGGCCGAAATATCGCATTCCGGATTCTCCGCACAACCGTATATATGTGTTTTAAATATATATATATATATATATATATATATATATATATATATATATATATATATATATATATATATATATATATATATATATAACACAGGCAATACCGAGGCATTCCTACAGGAGCCCACCTGCCAATAGAGACCATCGATTCGGTCCAACCAACTACGGTACCATACAATCAACAACATTACAACTATTCCCATTATACAAGAAGTGGTTATCATGACTCGATGGTCTAATGGAGTGTTCTTTACCAGGTTCCAGTTTAATCTGAAACCATAAAGCTCACTGGAATGCAGGTACATCCGGCTGACTAGTCCAAAAATGGACGAAACACCCTACTTGGATTTTACTGCTAGCCACTATTCATTATTGATACACATGAATTTATTATTCGCTAATTTGATTAGCATTAGATTACCAAAACGGAATGTTCTTGGGTGAAATGGTGAGTCATTTCTAGAATTAATAAGGGAATATGTAATTATAATGTGTATAAGAAAAATATGAAATAGGGGAGAATATTTGTAGCTCAGGTGAATGGTCTTGGTTGTATTGTCTTCTCTGAGCTGGGTTGTGTAATCGTGAAGCCTACATCATCTTTCTAAACAGCGAGATCATCAACACTAACTTCAGTATGAAGTGAGATGTCGGTATCTCTCCATCAGTGATTTAGTAGCTGGCCTTGACGAAGTGGCCTGTGATTGGTTGTTTCCTTTGATTGTTGTCATTCACTGACTGCATATATTTTCCTGTTTGCTGTCCCTCTGCTTCGTCTTTAACCTTTCTGTAGTTAACCATTTTTCTTATTGGTTGATAGATTGGGTCTGTGTCCATACATCTATTGATTGCTGACTAACTGACATGAATGCCAAGCTTCTAGAAATTCTCTGATGATATTCTTCGTCTTTCCTCTCTCCATCCAACATTTCGACATTGTCACAATTGAACTCATGTCCATAATTATACATGTTCATTGAAATGAGTGACGAAATGTCGTGTGTGACGTTTAATTGCCAATTGATGTTGATGTAGATGAAGGCGAAGATGGGTGACCACTTTGTCCAATGTGTAGTGTTGACTACAATTATTCCAGTTGATTTTGTAAATGATATTTCGTTTCTCTTCTTTGGTTGTTGCATCCTTTGGTGTGCATAATAGTGTTTGGAGGGGATTTGTTGGTTTATGACAAGGTCACACCAATTTCAAGTGGTCTCAATAATCTTGTCGTGATTTCTGATATATTCCTTATGTATGGTAGGATGATGAGTTTATTGATTTCTGTAGATGACTTTGTAGTTGATGATGTATGGGATAGGCATCTTGAGTAGTGAGTAGTAGTTCTTCTTTAGCATGGACATCAAGTAATTTTCTTTGTTTCCCCGTGAAGTTGTTGTACTTTAGTGTGTTCTCGCTCTTTTGAATAGAGTCTACATCCAATTGGTTTTGTGTGTCGTTGGGTTGTTGTTACTTTAGTTGAGGATTTGATCATTCAGCGTGTGTTGGCTTCCTGTACACTTGGGCTTCCAGCTTCCCCGTATTTGTTCTATTGACCAGAACATCCAGGAATGGTAGTTGGTTGTTTGACTCCTTCTCCATTGTGAATTTGATGTCACTGAAAACGGTGATAACTATTAGGTCAAACAATAAACAGATTCATAATGAAAGTCTTAATTATAATCGGAGTAAAGCATTATAAGAATATTCACAGGAGATTAGTGCCAACATATTAAGATGTTAAATGGAAGAATGAAGAGTAATGAACACCAGTTAGTAACAGTAAGATGAATATCGAACGAATACAGACACTCAAGAATGGATTATAACCACAGCAAAATAAGAGAATGAATATCCCTCTCCTGGATGCAGAGCCCAAGCTTTAATTGTTTGATTGCCAACAACTCCGAAACACACAAATGACGAATCCATACACCTTAGAGCCGTTCGGATTGACATTGTATAGAATTTTGAACTAAGACTTTGGGGAAATCATATTACCAGAGTTGATCAGATGGTCTAAGATGAAATTGTTGCTTGATTTGTGTTCTCCTCTTGACAGTTAACCAAGATATTGCTCAAAGATACGTTTAGAGAGATTGAACTTTGTGCAACCTACATAACCAGCTCTACAAGAGCAGATAAACTGAAAGACACACCTAGATGTAGTCCAATCGATCTAATATTAACCTACTGTCCAATAATAGACTCATCTCTTCACTTGTTATTAGTATAAATACGATTGTGTAGTTGCTAAAAATGATTTGTCGAAAGGATACTTTTCTTTCCTGTCCGTCAAGGGAATACTTGATATGTTCAATAAATATATTATTATTTATATTATTATGTGTCCTTTGGGTTCCTAGTCGAACATAGGGCTTCAGTAGCACGTCTCCATTTCACTGCCTTCTCTCCAGTCTTCTCAACCTGGCTCCACGACTGCCCACAAGCTTTCATTTCTTCCTCACACGATCTCCTCCACGTCGAGCTTGGGCTGGGACGCCCAACTAGTCATTTCCCATTAGGCTTCCACTCGACAGCCTTGCCTGGTGTTCAGAGATTTGGCACGTTACGAAAAGGATTTCCAACAAACTACAGACATTCATCAGCAGCTGCAGTCTACGCTGGCTCGTTACTGAAGATCAGATGGCCAGAATAAGAATAAGCAACAAGGAACTCTGGCAACAAACCAACGAAGCAAGAAGTTGTCGCTCAACAAATATGCAAAAGGCAGTGGAGATGGATTGGGCATACACAGAGAAGGTTGATTGGGGACATCACGCACCAGACCAGGCCCTCGAATGGAACCCAGATGGGAAGCGACGAGTTGGGCGTCCCAGCTGAGGGTGACATGGAGGAGATCGTGTGAGGAAGAAATGAAAGCTTGTGGGCAGTGGTGGAACCAGGTTCAAAAGATTTCAGAGAAGAGAGTGGGATGGAGACGTGCTAGTGAAGCCCTATGTTCCATTAGGAACCCAAGGGACAAATAATAATAATAATAATCATAATGTATATGAAAGCCATTATTATTGTTATTTCAACACTCTTTTGTCCTAGCAACTTAAATTACCACTCCAGGTTTCGCATCTAGTCATCATTATCTGGAGTTTTATCCAGTTAACAATACTGTTTTTCTATACAGAACATCTTATGTATCGAATAAAATTATTATTATTATTCATTCCCTTGGTTACCTAGTGGGACATAGGGCTTCAGTAGCACGCCTTCATTTCACTCTGTTCTCTGCAGTCTTTTGAGCCTGGCTCCACGACTGTACACAAGCTTTCATTTCTTCCTCACATGATCTCCATATCACCGTTGCCTCGGACGCCAAACTCGTCGTTTCCCACTTCATGATAGCCTTTGATGGTCCTGGAGACATCATCATAGCCACTCCAAAACTCAGTGTGCTCGTGGTTGTCATCAGGGTGACAATATCAGAGTAGATTATTGACTCTCCAGTTGGCGGTTTGGAGAGTCCACTTCCATTTTATCTGCTTTCGCAGATACCAAGTAATTTCATGCCATACCACCTCATCTCTTTTGCAATCTGGACAGACTTGTTAGGTTCATACATGTTTCGGACATTCCATGTCCCCATCGGGGCGACTGGCTTCGTGAAGGCTTTCATCAACCAGCGTCATTTCGTCTCTCCGATTCTTTGTGCTCTGAAGTTTCTTTAGCGGTTGGATTGGTTTTACGGGATAGGGTTGCTAGCCCAATGCGCAACCTTTCCTCTTTATCCCGGCTTATAACCGGCTAGTAACTACTAGTGAACTAGTTAACCAGGCAAGGTTAAAGCGAGATATATACAAAAGGAAAACTTTTCACCTCTTCATTTAACGCAATAATTTATTGACACAAAAATAGTTAACCATTTCGATGATGGATACATATTGGGATACAAACAGTAAAGAAGTTTGTGTGAGTGGTGGTGGTGGTGGGGGACTGAAACACACGCATAAAATTCATTAGTACACACATAAAAGTAGATCGATGCATCATCCAAGGTCAATTGAACAAATATCCAATCAAATCACAAGCAACAATTCCTTCAGTACGCACCAATCCACACACACACACACACACAATTGATGACTAGAGGGAACAGATGCAAAAATGTGATATAGATGAGTAAAGCAAACAAACAACCAAAGTGGAACAGAAAAACGTTGAACAGTGTACATTTTCACAAGATTTGATTGTATTCAGCAACTATAGTTATATTTTCTTATAACTGGGCGAATATTTGTTCCCTATTCTCTTTTATCTGCCTCTATGGAACAGTATTTGCATACAAATTAATGAACCTTCAAATTGTACTCATTTCTAACAGTTTGTTTCGTGTAAGTCTGAAAAGGAAAAGGAAGTGAATATTTTATTAGACGATGGTAAGAATATGCACAATTATAATGTATAATAATCCTTAATGGGTAGGCAGCAGGATCCAGGATAAGCGTTTCGTTCCATTTGGGATTCGTCAATTGGATGTACCAGTATCACGGTGCGTAGTCATATTGTTCCCACTGAAACTCGAACTTCGTACCCATTGCTTCAAATATCAGGCTAACAAGTCCCGAATAGGACGAGATAAGCATCCAGGATTCTGTTGCTAGCCAAAATTCATAATTACTACGAATATATATATATATATATATATATATATATATATATATATATATATTTATATATATATAGTAGAGCAACGGACAAGAAACCTGGTGGTCGGTGGTTGGAATCCAGACGCCGTCCAAATTTTCATTTCACCTTCAATCATCACCCAGTATGAATAATGAAAAGGTTGTAACACTCGTCTCTATAGTATAATCAGATAACCATGAATTACCAAATTATCTTTGTTCACACAACGAAGGATTAGGTTTACGAATGGTTAACGCTTCGGCCAATTTCAGTATGCCCCCCTCACTGCTCCTATATAATATCTTGAAGGCTGTTATCATACCAACCTTGTGATTGATTTCGATGAAATGTTGTGCTGTGGAAGAAGATGGATGTTTGTCACCTGTACTTATCAATGTTTGTGGGTTGAGTTGTTTTTCAAGCCATTTCGGTAAATGTTCAACCACTCTAGTCTGCATAACATAATTACTCCTTCAATGTTATTACTAAAGTGAAGTTCAATTCCGTATGAATATCAGAGACAAGACCATGTAATCTCTTTTCATGTCAAGTCTTTATTCATGGATGTACGTACACCTAACGAGGACAGACAATATTCTTTCCGATTTCACATATCTTCGAATTATCCTTCTTTCCCTATTTCTCCAATTCATCTGAAACAGTTACGTTTTTATTGTACACTGTGATAAGGTTCATTTCACTTTCGAAGTTGAACACTAACGGCATATTGATGGTGTTGCCATGGCGAATCTAGTTGGACCAATATTAGCAGGTGTATATATAAACTAATGGCTCAAGATTTAATCACTAAGGTCACATTCTATATAAAGGGATATTGATTATATCATTGTAATATGACACAGATAAGGACACCATGGATTTCTTAAGCCTTAATACCAAACAAGATCATACCAGTCTGACATATGAGAAAGAAAAAGACAATCAACTTGCATTTCTTGATATGTTCTTGTATTGGAGGGGAGATGAATCTATCAGACGATCAATCTGTAGAAAGTCTACTTCGACAGGATAGTACTTGAGTTTCTACAGGTTTTGTTCGATGAAATATAAGAAAGATTTAGTAAGATGCTTATTCAGTAGAATCCAACGTATCTGTACAACATCTAATATGATGGATGATGAGAGCTAATTTCTAGCAGACAGACTCATGGAAAACGGATATCCATTACAGTTTGTCAATGGTTTTAGAAAACAGCTGGCCCAGATGCTTAAAGTTTCCTCGGTCCTGAAGAAATATATACTTTTTAAAGTATGATACAGAGGGGAAATGAGTAGTATGATATTGAAACAGAGATTGAAATCTGTTATCAGTAAAACATACTATACAGCTCAGTTTATCAGTGTTGAGACAACAAAACACCTACTTCACCTCACACCTCAATCTCGCATAATTGATTATGTCATAACCCAATGTGTATACCAATTTCCATGTATTTGTGGACACACATACATGGGGAGGAGTAACTATGTTATGCAGACTAGAGTGGGTGAACATATACCGAAATGGCTTGAAAAACAACTCATCCCACAAACATTGATAAGTACAGGTGACAAACATCCATCTTCTTCCACAGCACAACATTTCATCGAAATCAATCACAAGGTTGGTATGATAACAGCCTTCAAGATATTATATAGGAGCAGTGAGGGGGGCATACTAAAATTTACCGAAGCATTAACCACTCGTAAACCTAATCCTTCGTTGTGTGAACAAAGATAATTTGGTAATTCATGGTTATCTGATTATACTATAGAGACGAGTGTTACAACCTTTTCATTATTCATACTGGGTGATGATTGAAGGTGAAATGAAAATTTGGACGGCGTCTGGATTCCAACAACCGACCACCAGGTTTCCAATCCGATGCTCTACCACGAGGTCCGACTACTACCGACCAGCTTTTCATTTCACTTCAATCGTCATGGGTTTTGCCCGATAACCACCATGTGAAGTCATGATGCCTTACTACCAGTTGATCGTATTCACACTGGCTACTCACCAGTCTAGACTTCTCATCCCAATCCAAATGTCGGTGAATTAGAGAGAGGAGGTGGAGTATTATATTGATCATCATTTGACGGTCTGAGATATTCATTTCCATATACAAATTGACTTGAGACAAGTGAATGTGTTGAGGGATGGTTCAAAATGTTGCATTGTGTGTGCATTGCATTTCACCTGTCTGTAATTTAACATTTTTCTTATTGGTTGATAGATCAGGTCTATGTCTATACATCTATTGATTGCTGACATGAATGCCAAACTTCTAGGAATCCTCTGATGATATTCTTCGTCTTTCCTCTCTCCATCCAACATTTCTACATTGTCACAATTGAACTCATGTCCACAATTATACATGCTCATTGAAATGAGTGATGAAATGTCGTGTGTGACGTTCAATAGCCAATTGGTGTTCATGTAGATGAAGGCGAAGATAGGCGACCACTTTGTCCAATGTGTAATGTTGACTACAATTATTCCAGTTGATTTTGTAAATGATATTCGGTTTGTCTTCTTTGCTTGCGGCATCCTTTGGTGTGTATAATAGTGTTTGGAGGGGATTTGTTGGTTTATGACAAGGTCACACCAATATAAGTGAAAAACTTGGGCACTGTGGTAGAATGTAGTTCCATATTAGATTTGTTTATTTGATATAAAGCGCACAGTGATACAGTATTATTTACTTGATTACGTTTCGAGCATAAATTATTGCTCATAATCATATCAATGTAATCACACTTCTTTCGACATCTGATTTTATAGTCCTGTCACCTGATCTCTCTTTGTTTTTTTGTTTTTTGATTGGTAGTAAAGTTTTCCATATCTCTGGTATAGGTGTTGCGTCATTCCTATTACATGTGTTGGGTGTGGATTCGATGAACAAAGATTCAGTAATTAATCTCTCTCTCCACCTAGCTATATTAGACTTAAGTACAGTGGTTTTGTCCCATCCTATTGTGTGGTTGTGTGTTAATGAATGTAATGCAATGGCTGAGTGTTTTTCTAGGTTATTGATCTTATTGGGGTCTGTCGTTCTATGTTTAGCTAAATTCCTATGTTCTGTTAATCTAACTGACCCCGACCGGCTAGTTTGACCTATGTATTTGACTTCACAGTCATTACATGGAATTTGGTAGATTATATTATTTTGCTTAATTGGTTCTATCGGATCTTTTAGCCGACAAAGCTTACCTCTAAGTGAGTTTGTTGGTTTAAATGCCACCCTAATTCCAACCTTGTTGAGAATCCTACGTATGGTTTCTGATGTTCCTTCCTTGTATGGTATCACAATAGAGGTGTTGATTTCCTTTCTACTTATGTTGTCACTATTATTTGTATTTGTATTAGTGTTATTATTTTGCTTCTTATGCGTCCGTGTGAATTTCTTAATAAAATGATGGGGATAATTATTATTATTAACGCTTCTTTTATGTGTTTCAATTCCTTATTTAAGTCCTTACAATGACTAGTGAGTTTCTCAGCTCTGTTATTTAGACATTTGACTAAACCCGCTTTAACTGACACTGGATGAGATGACTTGAAGTCTAGATACCTGTTAGAATGTGTTGGTTTTCTGTAGACGGTAGTATCTAAACCACCATCTATCCTTCGTTTTATTCTGCAATCCAACATAGGTAATTCTCCTTGTTCATTTTCTACTTCGTAGTGAATTGGATTGCGTTAACTACTGAGTTTATGTGTGTCAAGAAACTGTCGATATGTTCCGATTTCAACACTGTAAATGTGTCATCTACATATCGCCACCATATCTTAGGTGTCGGATTATATGTTCGTAAAGCCATATCTTCCCAACTATCCATAAATATATCTGCTACTATAGGGGATATTGGTGATCCCATTGCTACTCCTTCTGTTTGTCTATAATCTTTCCCTGAAACTTGAAGACTGTCGAGGTTAAGCATAACTGCACTCCTAACATGATTTCACCAACCGATGCCTTGGTTCTTTGAGTAAGTTGTGAGTCAGTATCTAGTTGATTTCTGACTGCCTCCAGTGCCATATTGATTGGTATTTTAGTATAAAGACTTGTTACGTCAAAACTAACCATTTTTTCATCCTCTTCTATGTGCAGGTCATTAAGTTTTTGTTTCAACTCGTAAGAATTTACTAGTCTAGAGTTGGAACGGTCTCTAACAGGACGTAATACTGATGCTAAATACTTTGATATCTCATATGTTGGTGTGTTCGGAAGTCAACTATCGGCCTAATGGGATAACCTGCTTTATGAACCTTAATAGTACCGTAAATTCTGCTAGGATTATTAGTTTTTGGCATTAAAGTAAACCATTCGGACTTACCTAGAGATGGCTTCAGTCGGCGTATCAGATCTGTTGTAGATTTCTTAATTTTATTCATGACAGTATCTATAGGTTTCTTAATCTCTTCATATGGCCCTGTTTGGATATGTTCATCCATTTTTTTAAGATAATCCGATTTGTCCATAACTACTGTTGAGTTACCTTTGTCAGATTTAGCAATCACACCAATTTCAAGTGGTCTCAATAATCTTGTCGTGATTTCTGATATATTCCTTATGTATGGTAGGATGATGAGTTTATTGATTTCTGTAGATGACTTTGTAGTTGATGATGTACGGGATAGGTATTTTGTGATAGAGTTTTGTGAGTAGCCATTCTTCTTAGGTTACAAGTCGAGCAGAAGAGTAATCACTAAGAAATATTAATACCTCACTACTGAAGTTAGTGTTGATGATGTCACTGTCTAGAAAGATGATAAAAGCGTCTCCATGACTAAACAACCCAGCTGAGAGCATACGATATAATCAAGTTATAATCGTGTTCAAGTCATCTGAACATTCCTAACTTCATCGATTCATGTTATAGTGTAGTACATTTAGAAATCGACTATATTTCGTATAGTATTGAATGAATATATGTGCTAATCACACCGCATATTTCTGAAAAAAAGTAGAAGATAAACTACTAGTAACCTCAAATAGTCTTATCAATGGTTATTATATTAGAAAAGTCTAACCAACATCTACATATATTGTTCATTAAACAATATAAGTGTATACTAACAAGTAAACAGGAAACAAAAGAAAACCACAAGAGAAAAATATTTTTTTCTATAATCAAATGAACTCACCTTAGAATAGAATTTAGCAAAAAGAAACAGAAATATTAATGCAGATATCAGTATCCAATAATTATATGCCTTTGGATATGAACAATCTTTCAAAGATAACGTATAAACTGAATGAAAAATTACAATGATAAATTGAATTATCTGTGCTGTAGTCATATACCTAGAAGAAGAAGAACAAAAGATGAATTTTAAAAGGGTTACGGAATAAGTAAAATAAAGATGATAATGGACTATTGAACTGAATTGACTCAGTGGCTAGCTCAATGGTAATTTGTCGTCCATGGAACCTGAAGGTCAGGGGTTCGAACCCCGGCGGGGTGGGGTCGTGGGTGCGCAATGCTGAGGAGTCCCATAATAGTCGGACGAAACAGCTGGCTATCCACTGCTCCCACATTTCCATTGTCCCACCAACTAATGTCTATCTACGATGAATAACAACTTGAAATAAAAGTTTGCATAATCTAATCTCAAGACGTAGCTTATTATCTGAACAATATCATGTATTAGCGGTATACATTCCAAACAATCGAGTCATAACACATTCACTTGTGAAGGCAGTATTATATATGAAAAATGGAAATGGGGGAAGGAAATATATAACATAAAGGAATTCAGAGGCAGTATTCATCATAGACTGGTATCAGTTGGGGAATCAGTGAAAATCTGGGAGCACTGGACACCTGTTTCATACCAGTATGCGACTACTCAGCAGTACCCACCCACGACTCCGCTACGGATAGAATTCATGACCTTCAAGGTTCACCGTGAACGCGTTAACCATCCAGCCACTGCGTCGATTTTCACTGGTTCACAAGTTCCAACTTCTGTCAATTCACCACATTGCCCGACTATCACTCAAGGTCTTCACTCAGTATCCACTTCACTTCCAACTGGTTTGGTTTGGTTGACTCCACACCTCACAATGTAATGTAATATAAGAGTAAAACTTGTGCACTATGGTAGAATGTAATTCCATTTTCATTGATTTATTATACAGTGAGAGAACAGTATTGTTTACCAGACAAGTACGTTTCCGACATAATTTATGTTGTCCATAGTCGTCAAATCAAGATCACTAAACAACTTTGAGATATCCTTTATATAGTGCTAATTTCCTCGCCTCCTCATTGTGAGATGAATAGTAAGATTTTCCAATTCATCTATGAATTTAAAAGTTGTCAAGGGGAGTCACCGATGTTGGATTGCCGAATACAACGGAAACAAGATGGGAGTTTAGACACACTAGTGTCTACAGAAAACCTTCACATTCAAATCGTGGGTGCGCTATGCTGAGGAGTCCCATACTAGTTGGACGAAACAGCTATCCAGTGCTCCCAGGTTTCCATTGTCCCTCCAACTGATGTCAGTCTCGGATGAATAAAAACTTAAGAAAGATGAAAATGCTTCATTCCTTAACTAGTTGGTGACAGATGAGCACCATTCAATATTACAGTCTATCTGATGGCTACTAGTCGGAATTCATAGGGTGAATTCTGTTCTATTCAGGAATACGCAACTTAACGCCGAAGCCATATCCATTGAATTAATACACAATCCATCCAAGTCAACATAGGACCAGATATTACTGCGTAACGGTCCAACTTGCCACACCTCATATCATTACATCAAGTAAAAAGGCAGTTAAGTGGAAGATGGAAATAAAATTCAGTCAAAAGAAATATGAAGTACGAAAAGAGGGAGAGAAAGGAAGAATGACAAAGTGGTGAGATTCGGTATACCGTCGTTAATATCAGGATAAGGTGTGTGGAGATACATCTGCGCCATATCATCACCCAGAGTCTCCAACCACTGGTTCCTCTTGTCTCGTGGACCCCAACGAACTAGTCTACATCGCCCCATATGGCTCAAACCAACAGTCAGAGACTTCATACATTGATGCCATATTTTAATCTGACCACCTGGGGCCTTTTTCCAGCCTACTTCGGCCAACATTGTGTAGTGAGGCGGACAACGACTAGGCATACGTAACACGTGTCCCAGTCAACCATCTCAGTCGATGAACGTTCATAACCTTATCAACTGATTTACCACTTCTCTCTCCCTAAAACTCTGCACCTCACTTCTGCGTTACTCATATGGTGACACCACGGTACACTGCCTATACTACGAAGGCAATGGTGGTCAAACACTTGAAGCCTTCTCATGTTTTCCACCTTCAATCGCCATGTTTCACAGCCATACAGTAGAATAGATCGGACTGCTGTACAATACACGCCACCCTTAACAGACAAACGGATATCAAGGCAGCGCTACAGGTGGCGTAAGTTGGCAAAAGCCAATCGAGCCTTTTGTATTCATGCAGAGATAACCAATGCAACCAGTATCAATACAACAACTAGGCATCATAATAAAATTATAAGGATATGAATTCAATTTGAAGGTTTGTGAAGATTTCAATTTATTGATTTCAGGTTGGTATTCATAATGAAGTGATATCAATTGGAGGAACATTAGAACCCAGTTTCGTCCTAGTATAGGACTTCTCAGCAGTCAGCACGTTACAATTGAGCCAGTGGGTCAGAATTCAAAGGTTTATATGTCACAGCATAGTACAACCTCTGTCCAATGTTGTAGTTGGGTAACTGTCCTCATATTCGAGTGGTCATGTCTTGTCATTGGAACTTCAGGTTCACCTCCTGAAGCTAGTCACTAAAGACCGCTAAGTGTCCCTCCAACTAATGTCCGTTCACGATGAATTCCAACCTCAAGTCAACCAATAAATCACTACAAACCTCTACCAGACTGAATAATCTAGCGTTCACTGGTGAATAGCTTCGACAAATGATAGCCAAGGACCGATGGGGCCAGCCAAGTTGAACATGAAGACAGTTATTCAACTACGACATTCGATGAAGGTTGCGCTGTATCGTGAATTGATACAAGCAAGAAGTATGAACCACTGGATTCCTACTCAGCGATAATGTGCTGGCCACTGAACCTGAAGGTCACGAGTTCGAAGCCTGCCAGCGTCATGAGTGCGCACTGCTGAGGAGTCCCATACTAGTTGGATGAAACAGCAGTTGTCCAGTGCACCTAAGTTTCCAATATGCCTCCAACTAATGTCCATCCATGATTAATTTTATACACAAATCGTATGACCTTCTTTCTGAATATGTCGAATACATTTGTCTTGTCTCCCCCTCTTATCCAACTTCCACTCTAGAATATTCGTATAATCCTTCTATATATCAATAAACATACGCTTACTTCTGCATATTTTAATAATTTAAAGATCCCCATAGATTATTCAGAAGAAGAATAATTTGAGCGAATAATTGTTTTCAATAAGTTCTCCTTCTTCTTCTTCAGGCGCTACTCAGTTATAAATCCATGATGAAACTTCAAAACAGTATACTTAGGGACTTAATTGATAAAGTAGACTATTATTGCTGATGTATAGATGATACATATTCATTATTTATAACAATGGCTACATTAAAGAAGATCTCTTGAGTAGCTTCAAGAATGTCCACCCATTTATGAAGTTCACCTGTGAGGAAGAACCGGGGAATAGTATTCTTTTTCTAGATGCCCTTCTTACCAGGAAAACGGATGGATATATCGATTACGTAGATAAGTTGAAGAGACATTCAATACAGCGAAATATTTTGTCAGTTTCTCAGTAAAACTATTACTGACACGGCGAACCAAGGATAAGGTTACCTATGATGGCCACTTCAATGAACATTTATGAGTTCAACTACTTTTGTGGAACTGGTGAAATAGGCTGTACTCAAAGGGCTCTATCCACATGCACATGTGAATATGCACCAGCTTGATTAGAGAAAGGAATGACAAACAACATCAAAGGTTCAGTCCTCTTGCGTCCAGTAGACATCGAACATCAGATCTATGATATATTGTGTGGTTTGTTATCTACCCAAAAGGGAAACGACTACATCTATACACAGTCGAAGTTATAGGAATTAACGCAAGAAAACCGGATCTATGTGTTCAATAGAAATGTGAACATCCACTTTGTTTACTTTGACTCAGAATAGGGTCAACACGTTCTTCATGAACTTTCTTACAGATTCTGATTACTTTGATGAACATTCATTTTGTTATCTCATTAGTTTTACGCCCTTCTTTTATTCATACTGCAATCGGGTAGTCATTTTGAACCATGACGTAACACTTCACATTGGTGATTCTCTATTCCGTTAGAGCATTCACATGATTTCCCACCCCACTTGAACATAACTCATCACTACACAGTCATTATTTGACCCTTAGTAAACAAATACACACACATTCATGACCCCAATGAATGTATACAAATGAACCATTATCTTCGTTGTATTGTGTTCTCTGAGCTGCGTTGTTTAATCGTGAAGCTTTCATCGCCTTGCTAGACGACATCATCAGCACTAACTTCAGTATGAAGTGAGCTGTGAATATCTCTACGTGAGTGATTTACTAGCTTGCTCTGACGATGTGGTCTGTGATTGGTTGTTTCCTTCGATTGATTGATTGTATAGACTTTCCTGTTGGCTATTCCTCTGCTTCACCTCTGACCTTTCTGTCGTTTATCATTTTTCTTATTGGTTGATGGATCGGGTCTATGTCTATACATCTATTGATTGCTGACTGACTGACCTGAATGCCAAGCTTCTTGAAATTCTCTGACATTCTTTGTGTTTCCTCTGTCCAAAATTTCTACATTGTCGAAATTGAATTCATGTCCATAGTTGTTATCCACGTGCATTGAAATGAGTGACGAAATGTCGTGGCGTTTAATAGCCAATTGGTGCTCATGTAGACGAAGGCGAAAAGGGCGGCCGCTTTGTCCGATGTAGTGCTGACTACAGTTATTGGAGCTGATTTTGTAAATGATATTCGGTTTGTCTTCTTTGCTTGTGGCATCCTTTGGTTTGCATAATAGTGTTTGGAGGGGATTTGTTGGTTTATGAGTGGTCATACCAATTCCAAGTGATTTCGGCAATCTTGTGATTTCTGATACGAAGAAGATTACTTGATGTCCATCCTAAAGAAGAACGGCTACCCACAAAACTTTATCAGTAGATGCCTATCCCGCGCATCACCAACTACAAAGTCATCCACAGAAATCAACAAACGCATCGTCCTACCATACATAAGAAATGTATCAGAAATCACGACAAGATTATTGAGACCACT